TTCTTTCTGTTATTTGTGGCTTTGTGCTGCTTCTTGATACACCAATTCTCATTGTGCCTTTCCAACTCCAGGCTACATAGGTGACCCAACCCCAATGCAGTCATCTCAGCTTGCAAGCCCTCAATGGCTGTGCTCTTCTGGGGTCCCTGTCTGCTGCCTTCAGCTGGGGACTCCTTAGAGCTCTATTTTCCTGCAGACACCACATCTCCTTCCTGCTCAGAGCCTGAGAAGGAAAGGAATGAAGGGTGCTGACAGTTCCTCTGGGAGGGCTCTTCGGGCCTTTGCTCACTCTCCCCTCCCTTCCTGTCTTCTCTGATTCTTTTCCCCAGAAACATTCTGAGGAATTCATCTGTCACACTGGCTGACCACGTCTCTGAGGGTGGGAGAAAGGTCAGCACACACGTCTTTGAAACTAAGGGCAGCAGGAGGTATGATCAAGGCAGGCAGGTGCCAAGGGCTAGACCCTCTTCAGGAGCTGTGTCTGGGTCTTCACTCTGTTGTCCAGACAGGTGGGGCTTGGGGCACACAGACATTGGGATATTTGTGTTCTTGCTCCTGTGCCATTAGAGAGACTGCTGCCTCAGGCAGGCCAGCTCCTCCTCCTCTCGGCTACACTCATGCTGCTCGGACTATATTAAAAAAAAAAAAAAAAAAACTTCTTACTGTGCAAAGCAAAACAAAACAATAGCCAACATTTTAGAGCATTTTCCTATCTGTTCTAGTCTTAGTGTTAGGCCATTACAGAGTCAACTCAGGACATCGTCATGCAGAACTGTAGTGAGAGATTGGTCTGCTCACATCTGATTACACATCATTTGTATTTATAGTTGGCCTTCCTTCTACAGTTACCAGAAATAACAGGATCTCAGGATATCAGTCACTACCTTCTGGGTGACCCAACCATCCCCTATGAACACCTCTGTTTCTTCAACATGTGGTGAAACATGTTTCTGACTTGGTCACGTCCTCAGGGCTGATCCCAGCATGGAAATGAAGAACATGCTTTCTTCTCGTGGGAAATGGCTATGAGCTGCCCTCAGCAGAACTGACTTCCTATCTAGGGAATAGGGGAAGAAATCTGTAGCTCATGGGCCAGCTCTCAAAGGGGCAGCTGCTCCTGGCCCGAAGGATGTGTCTGGCAGAGTAGGAACATCATTCTTCCTTTCACTCTGATCTGTACAGCCTCCCCTCCACCACAGGCAGGTACAAACCCTGCTGTGTGCACAGATGAAAACACAAATGCTTGTGAGATGAATGCATGTCCTATTGTTCCTCCCTGACTCAAAGCAAGTTTTGGGCACCTGATGTGGGTACCTGATGGCATCACTGGAATGGTCCTGTTGTCAACGATCTCAAATGAAACTGGCATTTAAAGTCAGCTTTCTAGAGTTGGGAGTATGGTTTCAGTGTTGATCACTTGTTTAGTACATATGAGGCCCTGGATTCTGTCCCTCACACCACAATAAACAAACAAATAAATATATAAATAATAAAAATTAGCTTGTTGAGCTGGGAGTGGTGGCACACGCCTTTAATCCCAGCACTAAGGAAGCAGAGGCAGGCGGATCTCTGTGAATTTAAGGCTGACCTGGTCTGCATAGCAAGTACCAGGAGATTCTATCTCAAAAAGACTTTAAAAAAAAATTGTAGACAAAGGTTTAAAAAAAAAAAAGTCAAGTAAATGCTTGACCAGAAAAGCCTTTTTTGAAGCAGATGAAGATATAAATTACAACAGAGACTCTAACAATTCCAAAATGGAATGTGTCTTCTTTTCGCTGGGACTAAGTAGCTCAGAGGGCCAGCACCTTCTTTTTCCTTGTGCCCCTGTGGAGCCCAGCATAGTTCTTTGCCCATAGTGGCCCTCTATGGCATCAACTCTCCATTAACATATCTAGTCTCCTGCTGGGCACATTTTACCTGGGTACCCATGGAACTTCACCATCTTCACTCCAAGTCCCACTGCAGACCTACAAAAAAATTTCCCCAGACCCTCACGTAAACAGTGACTTTCATATTGAGCTATGACATCAACAGAAGATCAAATCATTGTTATTTTCAGACAGGGAGACAGCACCAGGGAGGTCCTGGGGCCTGACAGGATCTCCTAATTCTGATACTTGCCACAGGCCCACTCTTACTAGACACTTCTAGATCCTCCCAGTTTATCAGGAAAAATAGACTTTTTTTTTCATTCCTTTATTATTATTTTTTTATTTTATGTGTATTCATGTATTGCCTGCATGTAGGTAAGCGCACCCATATCATGCAATGCCTGCGGAGATCAGAAGAGGACGTTGGATCTCCTGGGACTGGAGTTACGGACAGTTGTTAGCTGCCATGTGGGTGCTGTGATTCGAACACAGGTCTTCTGCAAGAACAACCAATGTTCTCAACCATTGAGCCATCTCTCCAGCCCTGGATTTTTTTCATGCTAAGTGCAATGTGGTAATAGGAACTTAAATCCTATCTGCTACATAGTCCAATTCCAGTGATGTGCAGACATCTAGTGCATGAACTAAACTCCCCAGAAAAAAAAAAAAGACATATCTGTGTTAGAGATTATACAGGACCTAAAGACTGAACTTCATGTTTCTGAGAATTTGTAGCCCAGAGTCAAACTGTTAGGCTGTTTTATCTTCTTGTAAGTCATTCATGCCTCACTTTGATGTCTAACGGAACATCCTGTGACCACCAAAACCATTAAAATGTGTTCTTAGCAGACCACTAGCTTCCATCAATCCAAATGCTAAGAATTTCATCAGATAACATCTGAGACCTACAACAGTGTCCCTGCTTTGCCGTAACCCACCTACCCGCCATCCCCACCAAAGTATTTGATAAACGCCTTGACTTACTTTGTTTTGTGACTACAAAAACCTCATGTAACCACTTCATAGTTGAATACATATTTGAGGTAATCTACCTGAACCTGTGTTCCCAGGCCATGGTCACTCACATTTGGCTCCAGAATAAACTATTGTTTAGTCTTTTTGAGGTGAGAGTTGTGTTTCTACGTCAACAAGTGGAAACTCAGCCCAAGATGTTGACAGGCACTGACTGATCCTCAGGTGGGAACCATTCCCTCTAGGTTAGGCAAATTCCCATGAAGTCCAATAAAGTCATGGTACGCAGTCTTTCTCCTTTGCTTCTCGCTGTTTTAAGACCTCAAGGCAAACAAAAAGTGGATAGTGAAGATCATAAGATGAGGCACTCAGTTGGTCATGTGACTTTCAGCAGGCATGCTCTACTACACATCTATCTATTTAGGGGCTTGGACTAGACACTCTCTAAGGGTTGAGGTGGAGAGACTTCCCCTACCTTCCATAATGCTCTCCAGTCCACACCACATCAGTGACTTTCTACTGGAAGCTGGTACAGCAAGAGGAGTGGAAGTTGGCTTCAGGAGGCAATTATTCTGTCCTGGCTACCTTCAAGCCTGACAGTCCCCTGCCCATCTTCTCAGGAGGAAGTAAGTATGGATTCCCTCAGGATCTACTGGGGCATCCTTGCTTCTCAGTCTCTCTGCCTGGAGACCCACCTCGGGCACCACATCCCACAGGATGCGCCCCGCCTTCTTGCAGGAAGCAGGTCTCCCACTGTCAGATGACTGCTCCTGAGCAGCAGACTGTGAAGAACGGCCTGAGGTTTGGAGTCAAGAAGGTCTAGGCTCAATACCAGTCTCATTCTTTTACTCACATTGTGCTCCAGGTTCCCTAAGAACACATCACACGTGTATGTCATGGAGAGTACAAGATGCTATACTGAGGATGTGCAGTGTTCCCAGCCGGGGGCACTGATGGGAGAGAGTAGCCTAGTAGAATGGAGCCAAGAATTGGGGAAGGCAGTTCTTGGAGGGATTGTTGGGACTCCAGTCTCTCTCTCTCTCTCCCTCTCTCTCGCTATCCTTGGCACTGTGACACAGGCAATTTCTTCCAGGATGTATTTCCACTATGATGTACTATCTCACCATAGGCCCAAAGGCAAGAAACTCAGGCAGCCATGGGCTAAATATGAAACCTTGAGCCAAAAGCCTAAGTAAATCCTTCCTTCTTTTAAAAACTATTTTATTTATTTATTTTTAATTTTATTTGGAGAGTTTTTGTGGCAGGGTCTCACTACATAACCCTCGCTGATCTGGAACCTGCTATGTAGGCCAGGCTAGACTCAAACTCACAGGGATCTGCCTGCCTCTGCCTCCAAAGTGCTAGGATTAAAGGTATGTACCACCATGTCCACCGTTTTATTTATTTTTATCTTATGCTTATGAGTGTTTTGCTTACATGTATGTAACTGTACCATATGTGTGCAGTGCCTGCAGAGCCAGAAGAGGGTGTTGGATTCCTTGGAACTAGACTTAAGGACAGTTGTCACCATGTTGGTGCTGGGAACCAAACCCTGGATCCTCTGCAACAGCAGCCAGTGCTCTTAACCACTGAGCCATCTCTTCCAGCCCAAACTCTTCCTTCTTGAAGGCTGATTATCTCAGGTATTTGTCACAGTGCTGGAACACTGACTGACATGCAAAGCACGGTGTGTTTTATTTACCATATGTCAAAAGGCTGCATCCTGTTCACTTACTGGATTAAGTCTCATATTCCCTCCCATTTAACAGTATTCCCTAGAATCTGGTGTAGGGTGATTTGCCTTATTCAAAAAAAGTTAATAATTAACATTATTATTATCATTTATGAGTAATTAGCATGCAAGCCTGTATTCAAATGTGGCATAATTATATAAAAACAAGACACAGAACAGAACCCCACTTGCCCTAAACCAGTGGTAAAATGTGAGGGTGTAGCGCAGGCTACCCCACATGGCAACTTTACATGGCAGCGGCAGAGGAGCAGGCAAGTGAGTGGTGACGCTTCCCATTCCTGAGAACCATGTTTCCCTCCAACATCTATCCAAACCCTGACCCATCTCAGGCCAGCTGAGAAGTATACTCTCTACGGGAATTAAGACAAAATACTCAATTTATTCAGTTGATTTGACCAGTCATGTTGGGCTAAAGTGTTGGGTTTAATTTGCATAATGTAAAAAAGACACTTTAAGTAAGAATATTCACATACTTTACAATGCTAAAAATATATGTATAAGAAAGACTCACATAGGCATTTGGAATAAAACATACACAGTATGCCATTTTAATATACAAATGCTTTAAAGAAAATAGTCTTATTGATTACAAATGTAGATCACCAAGAATTTATAAAAGTTTCCATTTTCTTAAAGTTCACACTTCTCATCCTTTGGGATGTACAGAAATTATGTGGTTTACACAGTTCTATCCACATTTAAAACACGACGTTTTAAATGTTTTAAGCATAGCATGTACAGTACACAGTGTTTCCATAGGAACAGAACAGAAACCGTCACTAGTGGTCTGTTGTCAGGTGGCTCTGAGGGAATTGGCCATTCATAAGACACTAGTGCAGTTTATTGCTACAGTATTAAAGTTCTATTCACCCAAAATACAAGAATTTACTTAGGCTAGAATCTACCCTCCGAGGTTCAAAGACTTGCCATATAATATACACAAATATACACAACACAACTCAACTGAGTTAAATGAAGATCTCATAGTTAAATAAGAACCAAGAACATGAATTTTAGGTTAATATCCTGTGAGTGCTATTTTTAAAAATGTCCAGCAAAGTGCACAGTGGATGGACTCAGTCACCAGAAAAGATTCTTCCCTGAACTCTCCTCTCTTTCTTCCAGTCCCACCACCTGAGAAATGAGAACCTTGAGCCCTGGCATGTGCCAGAGCAGCTGCACAAATGGGGTCCCTGGAGTGATATCCATGTGTCATTGGAGATTCACTGTCCCCTAAAAAAGGGTAAATTTCACCATCCAGAACCAGTGTGGGGTAACCAGTGTGGGGTCTGCAGAGCTAACATCCAGGAAATAAGTGCCGTCTTAGTTTGCCAATGACAAAGCCATCTATCAGCCGTATTCGAGGGTTGGTGGCCCCCGAACAAGGTTGAAGTAGCCAGCCAGTGCTCCGAGGTCTATGTAGAGAGAACGCTGTCTCCGGAGCATCTCAGACTCTTCGGTGCTGCCAGTGCATGAAGAATCTGCAGAGGAAACATGGAAACAGTGAGCTAAATCAACGAGACAGAGACCCAGCAAGGAACAATTATATCTTCCTTCTGCAAAGAAAAAAGCCCCTGGGGCTCACAAGATAGTACCTCAGCTCTGCCTCTATCCCAGGTGGCCTGGCGAGCATCATGGGGTACTTATGGACTATGACACAGATTGAAGAGTTCAAACAGAGGCCGGTGAAGACAAGAAGGTAGGCAGAAATCCTGCTGTTTTTTTTGTTTTTTGTTTTTTCCTAGTAGTTCAGGGTACCCCCCCCCAACACCTCAGACACAAAGAAATGAGACAAGTAGAGAAAGCAAACAGACACTCCAGGCTTGGATTTGGACCTACGTGGATTAAGGATTAAGAATGCCTCCGATTAATGAAAACAGGCCCTTAGAGGCATACTTGGGACTCCAGGGACAAATTCTGACTCTCCTAGGGGAGTGACTCATAGCTGGCAAGATTTCAAACAAAGACCAAGATGCAAAGTGACTGTCGACTCGGTGTTTTCCCTGTGCTTCCATCCATAAGTGAACTATCCAGAACCCTACACCTTACCAACAGCAAGGCTGTCAGTCTTCATTAATAAACGAAATATCTAAAGTCAAATGATATTCTCTATCTCAAAAACATGCCAGTTAGAGGCAATGGCATATTGTATTGCCAATATTTGCACTGAAAACCCGTCAGAATCTGGTGATAAGTGAGCCAGTTAAAAGAATGTTTTCTCAATGTTTTTGCTCAGTTTCCCAAACAGTGACATGTGGCACTCTGGAAGCCATCCCTCATTTTGTTTCCTTGTGAGACAAGGTCTCAATATGCTATGTTGTTGTCCAGGCTGGTCTTGAATTCTTGGACATAAGAAATCCTCCCGGCTTAACCTCCTGAAAAAGATGGTACCACTGTGCCTGACTACTTCCTTTATGTATGTATGTATGCATGTATGTATGTATTTGTGTGTTTGTGTGTGTGTGTGTGTGTGTGTGTGTGTGTGTGTGTGTCTGCTGGGGCTTGAATGTGGGTCTTGTACATGTCAGACAATTGTTCTAACTCTGAACTATATCCACAGCAGTCTTGTTTGTTTTTATGTTTTTGAGACAGGGTCTCCCATAACCCCAGCTGGCCTGGAACTTGTTATATAGACCAGGCTGGCCTTGATCTCACAGAGACCTATCTGCCTGCCTCTACCTCCCTAGTGCTGGGATTAAAGGCGTGCATCATGCCCAGTCAACAGTCTTCTTTTTTTACATTTACTTTGAGACAGTCTCATTAAGCTGCCCAGGATATTCATTCTGTAACCCTGGCAGGCCTTGAACTTGCAGTCCCCTGGCTCTCTAGTAGCTGGGATTACAGATTACAGGCCTGTACCGCCATGTTCAGGTCCTTTTTGAGAGAGGAAGAGAGGAAGAGAGCAAGAGAGGAAGAGGGAGAGGGAGAGTCTCACATCATCCAGGTTGACCTTGAACTTGCTATGCAGCCACTGAACTAACAACCCTCCTTTTTTTTTCTTTTATGAGCTATAGCAGAGATTTGCTGTGGACAGGAGGGAGACCAGACTGGAGGCTCTACAGGCACTCAGCAAGGTGTCCTACCTGCAATGTTTTCAGGAAGCTCCACCTCCTTCCTGCTCTGCAGCCTCTTCCTTTCAAAGAGGGCAGAGTCCAGACTTTGGCAGCGGGGCTGGTCCTCTCTGGGGGGGTTCAGGGCTTCGTGTTTCAGTAGTTCTGCTGCTCTTGGGCGGTGGTTGGGGTTCCTCTCCAGGGCAGCTTCAATCAACTCCCTCATGCCCGGACTGCAGTCCTCAGCAATGTCTTCCAGAGGAGGCGCCTGCTTGTGGATCTGCCAACAAATCAGTTCTCTTAACATGGGTGGAAATAAACCCTCAAAAGAAGAGGCTGAGGAGTGACTGTACCTCACCATGGGATGTATAGTAAACATAGGTCCTGCCCAGACACTGCTTCCCTTCAATTTCCTAGGAGCAGTTAAACCACCTTTGGTTTAATGCTGCCAAGAACACACGCTGTGTTGGAATGCAGTGACAGCTTTCCTGGGGGTCCAGAGGTGGCTGCAGTGACAGGGAGATGCCTACATCTGACTTTGGATAAAAAGGGAGCTGGTGCCTCTACAAGCCAAGTTGGTGCAGAGAGCAAAAGTGTATTTTCTTTTTAAAAAAGACATGCTGTGGGGCATTGTAGTGCATGCCTTTGATCCCAGCACTTGGTAGACAGGTAGGTCAATCTCTGTGAAATCAAGGCCAGCCTGATCTACATAGTAAGTTCCAGGCCAGCTGGGGACAGGGAGACTCTTTATAACAACCAACCAAACAAACAAACAAAAACAAACAAACACATGTGAGATGTTAAAGACTGGAGAGACCGCTCAGCAGTTAAGAGCACTTATTGGTCTTCCAGAGGACCCCAGTTCAATTCCCAGGAACCACGTGGGCTGCTCACAACTCCAGCTCTTGGGAGATCCAACTATGTGGGCATCTGTACCTACACGCACATGCCCACACATAGATACATATACATATCATTAAAAATAAATCTTAAAAAAAATAAATGAAAGACATGTTCAAAAAACATACATGGTCTCCTTGACTGACAGATTTGTAGAACTCTGATGCCACTAAGAGTCATAGCTTTTTATTTTATTATTAGTCATAAAGTATAATGAGATCTCATATAATTTATGTCTAATGCTCACTTAAGTCAGTTTTCATTAAAACAGCCACACTTTCCTTTCAAAAATGGAGGCTCTTTCTTCAGGGGAAGAGCATGGGTCACAATTCTACCATCACCCCATTCCAAAGTGGGTATGCTATATGGGAGGTGGAACTCACCTCCCCCATCCCAACTGACCCTCACTTACTATGTATAGGTAGGAAGGATAGGCAGAGCGAGGGTAGCGCTTCACCCAGGGTGGGGTACCAGTCTGCATGTGGATGAGTGTTGCCCCCAGGCTGTAGATGTCAGCTTTTGTGGAATGGCCCCTACACAGGATCACCTCAGGGCTCATGTAAATCTGAAAAAAAGAAATGGAAAGCACGGTTGGCCTGGCTTTCATCTCCTTTGCCTACGTCATATTTGTCCACGCTCACTTTCAGACAGAGTGCCACCGCTGCCACCTTAAAGCTAAGGAGAATCCTGAGGCATTCTCTTGAATGAGAATGATTTGGATGGAGGTGTCTCCGTGGTGGGATAAAGAACCCCTCCTTCCATAGACTCAACACATACGCAGATCCAGCTGCAAGGTGCCTAGAGCTGAGAATGCACCTTGGACTCCCAGTGACCAGAGCCCCGCAAATACTGATCAGGTATACTCAACCTGTCTATTAAAACAGCAGTTCTTTTCATACTTATATGGAACGACAAATATACTTCTGTCATTTGCCATTTAATTGCCAAACTTCTAGTTATATGCAGGGTCAAAAAGAGACAGAATCCTGTAGGGTATTAACATCAGTGTCTTAGAAGGGAAGAACTTAAAAATAAAGTGTATTTAAAAAAAAATAAAGTGTAAAGCTGAAAAAATTATCTTAAGGAGTAATTCTACCTGCCATGTCTACCAATGACTAAATATCAAATACCACAGCAACAGTGTGTGAACATAGTCTGGGCTATAGAATGAGACCCACCTCAAAAATAACTAAACAAACAAACAAACAAACAATATGTAAGTTCCACCCACAAGTCAATGCTGACTTATGTAGGGTTAGTTTCTTTGAAAATCCATTTCTAAATTTAAAATGTTAAAAGATAAAAGAGCAAGCTCTAGTCACAAAAAATTCTCGATTTATGGCCGTCACTATCCTAATCATTAGTAAAGTTTGAAAATCTTTAATTTGAAAATCCAAGAGCCTCCAAAATCTGAGGCTTTTGAGCACGATGCCACAAGTAGAAAATTCTACATCCAACTTCATGCCACAGTAAAAATGCAGGTGTGTGAATACCATGCAAACTTGTGCTTCAGGCTGTATACAAACTCCATGTGGGTCCCATCCTCAAGGTAGCTCACAAATTAACATCAGCACATAAATATTCCAAAATCAAAAGAAGAAAAGGAAAAAAGAAGTGAAGAAAGAGGGAGGAGTGAAAGGAGGGGTGAGGGGGAAGGAAACTGACGAGAAGAGAGCAGCGCAGAGCATCCAAAATGAAACACTGACCCTGAGCATTTCAGAGAAGATACTCAGTCTGTATTCAGCTTTAAAAGGTTTTTATGCTGTCATGTGAATATGAGGAAAGGGCTAGTGTTCCCAGAATTCATTTCTGAGTAAATAAATAGGAAATTAGCTTACAAAAACTGGGGAAATTGCCTAGTTTCCCCATGATAAGCCTGTTCAGCTCCTTCCCAAAACACTTCCGTGCGGGCTTCCTTCTGTTAACACCCAGGCTGAACTGAGCTCCTTCTCTACCAACTTTCCCTACAGACAATGCACTGTGTGTGAATCTCAAGGTTTTTAAAAATAAATTATTATTTTTATTTTATGTGTATGCATGTTATGCCTGCATGTAGGTAAGCGCACCCATGTCGTGCAATGCCCGAGGCTGTCAGATCCCCTGGAACTGGAGTTATGGACAGTTGTTAGCTGCCATATGGGTGCTGGGATTCGAACCCAGCTTTTCTGCAAGTACAGTCAGTGTTCTTAACCACTGAGCCATCTCTCCAACCCCTGAATCTCAACTTTCTTAATATAATCACACAGTTAAAAAATTAAATGTTCAACTTTGTACCCTATAGTCAACTATGTATTGCATATTTAAAGTTTGCAGAGTGTAGACCTTGTGATAAAACTTCTTACCATAATCAAATAAAATTAAGCGGAAAAAAAATAGTATTGCTCTTGCTGTCAATAGAGGATGCCTGCCCTCTCCCGGGATCCCATACAGAGTAGAACAAAGCAAATTTATATGTGGGTGGTGTTACAGCTCTGTGTGACTGTATGCCTAGCCTGCATTTGGATCTGGAAGTATCCAGGTCAGCCTGGAGGCTGGGTGCAGGCCCCTGGCACACAGCCCAGAGCTTCACAGCTCCGGAGTTCTCACTTCCTCAAGCTCCCCCAAGATCCAGAGGAACCAGATCAGAGCGGTTTTCTTGTTGGCTGCCTGGGAGGCTTGGGGCAGAATTGATGGCACTCTCCCTGAGAGTTCCTCTCCTTCCTGCATGAGCAAAATGCAAGGGGACTTGATGTCAGGGACAAGGCCTGTGCTTCTCAATGTATTTTGTAGCAAGGGAAAGAGACTGTACACATGTGTGTCTGTGTGTGCCTGTGTGCACATGTGGTCATATGTTAACTTACAGAGGTTAATAATAAACTCAGAAGAAAGTTACGAATTATTTTTTTAAATGACCATGCTATCAAAGTGATTCTAGTCTGTCATTTATATTTAGTGTGTTTTTTTCCTGAACCACATAACTAAAAGCCAATAAATACACACCAGATTAACCCTGGATGTGTAATACATGATTACAATAAAATTCTCTCAATATGAATGCTAAAAGCAGGAGAGAGAGAGAGACAGAGACAGAGACAGAGACAGAGACAGAGAGAGAGAGAGAGAGAGAGAGAGAGCAAGAGATCGATCCATAGGCAAGCAGCATTCGTGCTTGTGAGTTATAACTCTGCTGCAGAGATGGAAAACAGTCTTTGGCTTCATGCCAGTCATGTGATCAAATTCTAAAGGAAAGCAAATCTGTGTGTTTGTATGACTCGCTGTACCTTATTTGCTCTTTCAGTGTGAGGGGTGAAAGCAAACTTGCTGAAAAGTTGCATTGGGACTTGGCAACCATTACCACACTTGTCACGATTGAGCTTCAACTTGTAGGCACTATGTAGACAGCACATACAAGATGACTGACAGAGAGTTCACAAGGACAGACATCAGGGCCAGTTTTGCAATTTATACTCTGCATTAGCTGAAAATCCTTCATCTAAATACCATTCAGAACTAGGTGGGGTGGTACATACTCCATAATCCCAATACTCAGGAGGGAGAGGCAGGAGGAACTTGAGTCCATAGACCAGCCTAGGCTATAGTGAGTTTAAGGCTAGCCTGAGATACCCCAAATTCAAACAAAAAAGAAGTCCTACTGAGGACTGAGATTTCTCCACACCAAGCATCCTGGTGGAGAATCCCAGAAGCCCAGCTTTTCTCCAACATTGCATAATATCCAACTTTGACTGCACTGCCAGGAAGCAAAAGGTATTTTTTTTTTTTTTGCTTCTAATACCATAAATAGTTTGTTTCCCAAACTGGCTCCAGGAAAAAGGGCAGAATGTCCCGTATCTGAACTTCTGACCAATGCCAAAATGTGCTGAAACATTTTCCAACGACAATGTTGTAAGTGTTAAGTCTGATCAGACTCTGTGCTGGGCCAAAGCAGGCTTAAGAAGTGGGAACAAACATTCTTTTTAAAAAAAAGTGTCTACAGAGTAGGTATGACCCCAACGCTGAGGTGGATGAGGCAGGAGGGTCGTGAGATCCAGACCAACCTGGGCTGTATGGTGAAACCTGGGCACAACAAATCAAAATAAAGTGAATCCACAGATTTCTCTTCTAATGTTATTCTGTCCAAAGACAGATAAATGACAGATGCTCATTCAAATAAATTCCAGAAACCATATAAAGAACATGAGTTTAAAAGGGGTTTCTTCGGCTTCTCCAGAGAGTCCTGCTTTGAGAATTAAGGAAAGGAGTACAGAATCTTGGTTTTTAAAGAGTGTGATTTTTTTTTCTTTTGTTGCTATTCAGTTCAGATCAATACATAAAAGTAGCTACTAATAGCTGTCATCTGAACACCAAGACTGACCAGGCAACCTGAGCACAGACAGCCAATCCCTCTCTCCACTCCCTGATGTCATTTCTATCAGAAGAAGGGAGTAGGCATAGGAGGCTCAGGGTTTCTGCTGGTGGATAGGGTCAGGGAGGTGGCATTTTCTTCCCAGTTACATCTACTCTGTGCCCACAGTAACCTACTGCAAACTCTGCTGTTTGCCTTCCATAACCAGGCAAATTTCAAAGAATTGTCTCGGGGGGAGGGGAGGAAGGGGGGCGGAGGCTTATCACATAACTATGAACTTCACTCTCTTGTGCACAATAGAGCGACTGTGGATGGCAATGACACATGGCCCATCACAAAACTAGAAGAAGCCCTCTGGAACACTTTTATCATCAAATAGTGATATATGTGAGGGGAGACTGATGCATCTAACATGATTATTCAATGTATTTTAACATCACGTGGTACTCATTCATATATACAACTTTTGTGTATTATCTATTTTTGCGTGTTTATTTAAGAAACCATACAATGTTAAAATAATTTTGTAAATGTCCACAATGAATTTATTAGTTAAAACAGATACTATGAGAGTAGAGAGCCCTGAAGCCCTGCCAAGGGCACCAGGCTCACTCCTGCCATGATGCCATGACAGCCTGTCCCACGCAGATACTCAACGGATGCTTGCTAAATGATTAACCATTCAGCCTGGCAGGTTACATACGAGCATCCAGAAGGGCACAACCCAGAAGTTCACTTAGACTCAGGAAAAGGTTTTTTGGGTTTTGTTTGGCTTTTAATTCACAGGTGAGTTAAATATTATCACTATGACTTCAAAAAATATATTTGTGTTCATGACTTCAGACTTACTACACTGTCTCTGGGATGAAAGATGAGTAGGCCTCAGTGGTCAATCCTCTGTAAATATTAATGGTCAGGATAGTAAAGACAGTAACTGAACTAAAACTTAAGAGATTTTGTCATATTAGTTCAATATTTAAAATATTTTATCATGGGGCTGGAGAGATGGCTCAGAGGTTAAAAGCACCAATTGCTCTTGCAGAGGACCCAGGTTCGATTCCCAGCACCCACATGGCAGCTACGAACCGTCCTTAACTCCAGTTCCAGGAGAATCCGAAGCCCTCTTCTGACCTCTATGGCACTCCATGACACAGGTGCCCTCACATACATGCAGGCAATACACTCATACACATAACATAAATAAGTGTACTGCCTGCACCCGTGTCATGCATGCACACAGAAGTCAGAAGAGGGCATTGGAGCTCCTGGAGACTGGAGTTATAGACAGTTGTTAGCTGCCATGTGGGTGCTGAGAACCGAACCTGGGTCCTCTGCAAGAGCAGCCAGTGCTCTAAACTGTTGAGTCATCTCTCCAGCCCCTAGTTCAATATTTTAATAATAAATTAACTACGTTGAAAAATTACCCAGAGTTTAGGGCTCAAAATCCTTATTTTCTAAGGGATCTGTTGGTAGCTGAGTTTTAGGCGCTTTATTTTTAATCTCTGCAAGTTTATTACCTTACTATAAAACAGAGTAACTGCAACCATCATCTCTGTTAGAATAATGCTATTTACCAACAATATAGTTATAAGAATCAAGTAATTCATTTAAACTACTAAGCTTACTATAAAGTGGACTATAATTCTATAATTGTTTATAAAGATTACTTATCTGAGAAGTCTGGGTCTGGAAACATTTTGGATTTTGGAGCTTTTTATATTTTGGAATATTTGCACACAAATCTGGATTTTGAAAATCTTTTGGGAAGGTTGTACACAATGTGTGTGTGTGTGTGTGTGTGTGTGTGTGTGTGTGTGTGTGTGTCACAGCACACATGAAGAAGTCCGAGGACCATCTTGGAACAGGTCTTCACCTCACCTTGTCTGAGACAGGACCTCTTGTTCGCCTCGGCTTATTCTAAGGCTAGCTAATGTGTGAGCTTTGCCTCTCTCTGCCTCCCATCTCATCATAGTAGGTAGCTCTGGGCTCATCAAACGTGGCTTTATGTGGGTGCCAGAGATATGATCTCAGGTCCTCAAGCTTATACAGCAAGCTCTTTACACGTGAGCCATCACTCCATCTCTCAGATATCTAGATTTGGGGATGGAGCTCAACTGGTCATCATTTTAGCACTGGGTAGTTCCTAAGTGTTTTGTATTACATATATAAACATAGTAATAGATAATGTCTATAAATATAATCATATGTTAAACATTATCATTTATTATAGCAAAAGGAAAAGCTAAGGAGTAAAAAAGTGCTAAACTTACTACTTGGCACAAAGCAAGTACTCAATTTGTTCTGACACCAGCAGTGACTTAATGTAATCATTCAGCCCTTCCCTTGCTCTTTGGCGCTACACTGCTAGATTATCATTTTTATTCTTAACAAGATTCTAACAATTTTCATACCAATATAATTACCTCTGTTCCTCGGAGGTCCTTTGGAAAATAGATATCTTCAGTCATTTGAACACTGAGGCCAAAATCCACCAAAACAGCTTTTGTAGACATAAAAACAATATTGCTAGCTACAATGAGAAAGTTTTAACAGGTGTTAATATAGCCGAACATAATATAGAAGCATCATGTGAAACACGAGCCCCAATCAGAACAGCCTGAAATGCTTCTGCTAAGAAGATAGATGCAGTCTATTCAAAAGGAGAGGAATGTTGGAGAGGTCAGGTGAAAATCACCTCAGACCTGTCAAGAACCTGGCCAAACCATTAGGAAAGCTCAAGGTTTGAGTTTTACCATTCTAAGGTAAAAGCATATACATCTAAGCTAGTCTTCTTTTTAAAAAAAAGTAAAGTAATTTTTTCCAATTAAATTTGTGCTTGTCTAATTTAGTACTGGGTATTAAAGGTTTATAGTGGCCTATTTCTATACCATGTCTGAATTCTAACAAATAGTAAATATAGTTAAATAGTAAAAAATAGCTTATTTAATGAATTGGCAAATTAGGGTTCAGAATTAAGAGTATATATTGTACTCCAAAGTATATGCCTATATGTATGCATTAAGTAAATTATCTTTTTGGTGCTGGGGACTGAACCCAGGGTCTTGGACATGGCAAAAAGGGGCTCTACCACTGGGCCATACTTTCAGGCCTGCATTGCTGGCTGTATTTTTTTTAAATGTGTATGTGTGTTTTGCCTGCATGCATGTAGGTATACCATGTGTGCAGTGTCCTTAGAGGTCAGAAGAGAGCATCCAATGACACCCTGGAACGGAAGTTGCGTGTGGGTGCTGGGAACCAAACCCAGGTCCTCTGCAAGAGCAGCCAGGACTCTTAACAACTGAGCCATCTCTCCAGGCCCCCTGCATTAATGTTTTTAAAGCATTGCTACAAGAACACAGGCAGTACACCTCCTACATATGTAGCTATAACCTTTGTACCAATGTTCCTCATCCTTCCTTCCAACTTCTGATCATTCTTAGCAATCATTCTTGATTCTAAGACCTCTCTCAGGAGCATAAAAAAGGAAGGTGAGCTGTGTTTGCCAGGAGCTGTCTTTGAGTTGAAGGATCCCATTCACTTCCCATCTTGTGAGTCTCATTCAGCCAAAACAAGACAGACCCCACACTACTCACGCTTAATATCATGATGGATCACTTTCTTGGAGTGCAGAAAATCAAGTCCCTTGAGAACATGCTTTGTCACCCAAATGATTTCAAATTCTCTCATGGGCCCACAGCTCTCCAACTTCTCTAGAACAGATCCTCCCTCGCCTGCTTCCATGAAGAGATGAACAGTGTTGCCCCACAGGACAGCACCATATAATTCAGCAATGTTCTCATGCCGGAAACAAGCCTGGATCTCCACATCAGATGGCTTAAACTGATCAACAGGGATCTAGAACACAAAATATGAGGAAGGTTTTAAACAACTTCAGGATGATGAAAAAACAAACAGATTAACCCACAAACTAGAAAGCAAATGGATACACTGAAGCACATTTGGCCTGTATGACAGTGGATGTGGCAAGAGTTTCCTACCACCAATACATGTGATCTCCATGACCCCTAGGCTTTAAACTGTATTTTTCAATATTCCAACTTGTTGTGTTGCAATATGAAGTCACTGGTTCTTTACCTTATACTCTAGGAATGTCTTTAAAATATGACCTCATCACCTTATACATCCCGTAAAAAACAGACTGATATTAAAAAGAAGTGTGATAAGTGTGATAAGGGGAGAGTTTGCAGTATGGGGAGATTTGAAAATGTCTCCAAAATACTGTGTTGGGGCAAAAAACAAAATATAGGGGTCCGGGTCCATATATTATGGGCTCAAATATAATTTAAAATATTATATGCACATATTTGGGAAAATAGGAAGCTGCTAAATGTGGCTGTCTAGAGGAAGGGGGCCTCACACAGGAGCCTACATCCTTTAGAGCCTGTCTGGGGTTTTAAATCATATATATGATTTTCTTTCTTAAGAAAAATAGCTCAAATATTAAACATAACAAGTACTACAAAGACAACAAACCTATTAAGCCACTTTCCCATGTTTTTGGTAGTAAAATTAAAAAACAGAGCACCATGGCTGATTTTTATAAAATACCTCCAGTTAGTTTACAATTTGGAACTGTACCCTCTGTATATAAGCTTCAAATGGCTCACTGTTTGCCTTTTAAGAATAGATACCTGAGTGAATGTTAATGAAAGAATAAATGAAGACAACATAGTGTTGCTCTTGTGATTATTATGAGAGACTGAAAGATATTTAGCAACTATTTTTTACTTTACTTTTTTCTAAACCGAAAGTGTTAAGGCTGAGAATGTACCCAATGATACAGCACTTGCTTAACATGAGTGAGGTCCTGGTTTTGACTCTTAGCAACACAAAAGAATAAAAGTGAATATTTTACTTTATCACATTTTAAAATGGTTTTAAATTCAATGAATCATCAGCTGAACCTAAAAATGTGATCCCCACTAAAATAAAGATACTGAATTCCATCAAGAATCCTCCCAATTTCTCCCAGTCACTGTTTCACAAAGGCCCCCAACACCCCAACATCTGGTAGATTGATTTGTGGTCCTGTTTTATTCTTTATATAAATGCCATCTCATACGATAGCTCTTATTTTGTGTCTGGATGTTTGTGTTCCAGATAATGGTTCTGAGATGTGTCCACACTGCTACAACTGTAAACAACACATTCTCTTTATGGTCCTGTGTTCCAGAGCATAAACATTGCACCTGTCAGCATCTGGAAAGTTACCAGTGTGGTACTCCGGTAAACAGTGCTGAAATGAACAGCCTTCGCTTTTGGTGACCACACAGACATGCCTCTGTTGGGTGTAACTAAGCAGTGGAGTTACTGGGTAGCTCAGGATAGGCACATTCTCAGTGGCCATGGGCTTCTGAAGTGACAGTTCTGTGGTAGTTATTGCTTAATAAAAGATGGGGGTCTCCTCAGCAATCAGTACATTTGAATTCAGCTCTGTAAATCTGTAGTCTGGCGATATCAGCCTTTCAGGTCTCTGTTGCCTGCCGTGGACCCTTCCCTGGTGGATAGGAACTGCATGCAGATCTGCTTTTCCATCTCAGGCAAGCTCCCCTCCACTGGGAAGAAAGGTGATATTGTCCAAGCTATTACTAAACACACCAATATGCTCCTTTAGTGGACAAGGCACCTAAGCACAGACAGGAGTTGAATGGCTCCAGGTAGCAAGCAACTCCAGAAACAACAAATACTTTGGGGCAAGACGCCCTTAAGTAAGATGCATTGGAAGGGTAGAACCCTGGATCAGTGCAAATAACTAAAAACCAGAGAGTTGGACACACTGCATGAACATACATACCAGTTTACATGCCATTCTGCTCTTGGTCTTTATGTCCTGTGCTAAGTACACTTTTCCAAAGGCCCCCCGAGGAATGAAATCAGAGCCAATGTTCCTGTAAGTCAGCTTCCAAGGTATGAGGAGAACATCTGAGTCGATTTGGTAGCGTCCATTCTGGGGAGTGATTACCTGTGAGGAAATACAGAGGCTGGAGGGTGAGGCTCTCTGCAGTCCTTCACTAAGACCCACTCAAGAGAAGCTATTCCAGAAGCATTCCTACATACAGCACTTAAATGCAATGGCACTGAGTGTAATCCTGACATTATAGTCTATATTTAGAACTTGAGCAAGACAGAGAAAGCCTGTAGCAGACACAGGTCGCTGGTCCAACCTGCTCGTATCTCCAAATCCTTGTGAGTAATGAGTGGCTGAACAGAAGTTTGAAATAGAAGTTTTATCTAAGGAGGCTGACTACTGTGAGCCAAAGACTGAAAATAAAGGCTCCCCCGCACCTGCAGGTTGACTTGTTTCTATTAAAACGTGCTAACCTGTTTGTCTGCATAGCTATTACTCATGCATGATGCATACAAAGAGAGCATGGAAATTAACCGGGCCTCAAGGATCATGGAAACCAGCGTGTGATGCCAGAACTGTGAGTTGACAGTGCTACATAAATAAGGGCAGAGCTATTTCACTTTGGCTTCGTCACTTAATTTTACTGTGCCCAATGTGTGCCTGTGATGGGTTTAGTACTGAGGAGGCAGCGATGAGCAAGAGACAGGTGATTCTTGACCTCTAGGGACCCATGGGTAAGTAAACCCTTGGAACCAGGTCTTTCAGAACTAGTGGACTCAGGTGGGGGTGTAACTCAGCAGCAGGGTGCCTGCCTAGCCTGCACAAGTTCCTGGGTTTGACTTCCAGCATGGCATAAATAAACAAGAAACAAAAAGCTCTTCAACTCCAAGAAAAAAAAAAAAACACCAAGAAAACAAAACTAGTCAGTCAACTAAAAAATTATGAGTTGTACCCCAACAGTAATGCAGGATCAAAGGATACCCCCTGAAGCCCAGATTGAGGGAGCACTCCAGAAATCCCAGCACTGGGGAGGCTGAGGCAGGAGAATGGTGAGTGCCTGGCCAGCCAGCACTACATAGCAGGTCTGTCTCAAAAACAACAAACAAACAAATAATGAAAAGCAAGAAGCATCATTCAAATGAAAGCTAGCACGACTCATGGGAAATATGATCTGGAGCACATGCTTTAAAAAATGTCTAAAGTTCTTTCGCAGGATAGTCTTCCCAATGCCAGTTGTTTCCTTGTGTGCAATTAGCAATTTTATAACTTGTGGTATCAATTCAGGACTTCTGCTATGAAAGGGCACCAAGCTAGCTCAAGAGCTGAAGAGAATGTGGAAACCCCCAAGCCCAGCCACGGGAGAACGAGTGCCTGACCCCATTGCAGGCGCCTGGCCTTCCACTTGCCTTTCCCAGCATGAGGCGGGTAACCAAAGGGCTGTTTGCTCAGCCTTCGTCATTGCTAATTTTAGCTCCACAGCCCACAAACATGTGCTCATTCTTAGTCAGGGAAGGAAGTGGAGAGCAACCTAACACTTGGAAATGCAAAATTCACTAAATTTAAAAGTTAAATCTTAACTAGGCGCTCCTACTGTGGGGGACCTTGTACAGGTCCCTCCAAGGAATACAAAGATCTTGCTCTTGCCGCCTTTGAAATATGATGCGCCCCTCTCCAAATAAATGTCACCTGTAGTCACTGTAGGCTCCTTCCACAGCAAGAAGCAGATAACACAATGGTGGACTCGTCCACCCTTAGACAGGGACAGGACCCTCGGCAACACCTGTTTGGTGGCCCCTTTCTTGTAGTTAAATAATAAAAAACTCATTTCACAAGCATCCTCCAGTTAACCATTTCAGGGTTTAATGCATCTTCATGAAAGTTTGGCCTTCAACCAAACCAAATGTGCCATAACCCAGTTTCACCTTCTTATTGTCTCCAAGAAGACAGAGGATGTTAACAACTGCCATACCAAGGGCTAATAATGGACCAGGTGCTGTGCTGGTGTTTTGTATTACTTCATGGAAGTCTACAGTGATCCTGAGCTAGGTACTAGTTTTATTGACATTTCAAGATGTAAAGCAACTTGCTCATTGGTACCAGAATTAGGATTCACACTCAGGTCTGTCCAACCACAAACCTTTTGTTTTCCAGAAGGTTATAATAAAATCCAGCTAGGATGCAGACCCAGTTCTTTGAAGTTTCTGCACCTACTTGATGAGGCCCAATTCCTGACCAGTGTGCAGTTAGCAAAGTTCCTGGATTGTTCCCTACCACTAGACTTTTATTTGGGTTTGGCATGCTTTATTTATCATTAATTGTCTCCTTTCTAGGGTCCCTTTTAAACAATCTTGCAGAACCTATGCTGTTTATGTCTACCAATTATTTAACTTACCAAAGTCACTTTCAAGTGCAGATACTAGACATGCTTTCTAGTTCCTCTTCCAGATTTCTAGAATTTCTGATAAACAATACTGGGCCAGGGGCAGGTACTTGAGAAAACTTCTCAGGTATTTTATGCAGTAAACTGTGTGATTGTGTGATATGGTTCCTATGATGTAGATGTGATCTTGGGCCACATCCTTAGAAACAGATTATCTAGAACAAAGGCAAAGCTGGGTCTCTCTCACCCTGCCAGTTAGGTAAGTGGACCTCCACATTCAAAGACTAGGTTTTTAAGTCAGGTGGCAAGAGTTTCTGTTTTGTAAACAAACTATACACCAGGCACTTAAATTCAGAATACTCGGCCATCACCACTATTCATCATGTAGGCATTTTAGTGCAGGGGGAGCAAAAAGTAAAACCAGATCTAAGAATAGGAAATCAGGTGGATTTTGCTTGTATATAAGGAAGAACCTTCTTAGAACCATAATTTTGACAAATCTGGAACTGAAGGCATTGTGTGATAAGTTCCTCCTAATAGGTTTGGAAGCAGAGACCAAATGCTCCACCCATTATTAAAAATGGTATGATTCAGGGGGGAGGGAGGCTATGGGAGGGTGCTACCTGGGAAGTGGGTATATAAAAAAAATAAATAAAAAATTCTTCAAAGCATAAAAATTTCCTCCTTAATAATTAGTAGATGTGAAAAACATTACTACTGAAATCTACCTGATGACCTTATATCCATGCTCAGATGCCAAGGAGCTCAGAAAGTAACTAGTAACTATAATAATCAGATATATAGAGATTAGAAACGCGTGTGAAAGCATCTTAGTGTCAATTGCATTGAAAATGAATTTTTCTGTATGAAACTGTATTTTAATAATGAAATGGAGATCTTTTTTGAAGTTTAAAACTTCATTTAATTTTATGTCTTATAGGGTTTATACGGAGTACAATATTGTATAACTGTATTAATTCAACTGTAAACCTAAAAATTTACAGCCAATTTTGAAAGAGAAACATCTTAGCTCTGGAAATTGTTATCGAATATGTCAATGCTATTGTAATGAAATGCCTCTTCTAATTATATGGTTATTAAATAAATAATTTTTAAAAAATGGTATGATTCAAAAGTCAGGCAGAGAGCTGGGCTCTTCGACTCTGGGAAGCCCTGACTCCATGATTGAGCCCCAAGCAATATCAGCATGTGACACCAGTATCTGTGAGTGAATCCTTTGGGGACATTGAGATTCACTAACCACCACCAAAGCCGAGTGCTTGGGACCCATTTTTGGATGATTTAGCTCCAGATCAGGTTATAAATAACTTTACAGTCTGACCCAAAGCAGTTTCTATATTAATGGCTTAAAGTTACTTCCTTGAGTCTTGCTGGATGCTGGTGCAACTTCAACATATATTATTTTTAGGAAAACAACACTCACATACATACACACCCAAGGAGTACCACCCAACATGCCCATGCTTTGGGATATTGTTCTAATACCTGGTTCTCCACCCTGTCTAATTAACTCTGTAGCACTGCGGTTGTTGGCTACCTGAACACACCAGGTGTCTATGTCCCTGGGCCTTTGCACATGTTGTTCCTTCACCTGAAATTCTCTTTACTTCATCTGGCTGACTCCAACTCAATGTTCCCACCTCGACATAGATACCAATTTTTCTTGGCGACCTGGGTCAACATTATCCTTTCCCCTTCCCCACACTCATGGGTGTGAGACATCTTGTCTGAGCATTTCCCACAGCCATCAGGGCAGAGATACACTATAGCTGCCTGTTCATCAGCCTCTTGCACACGCCAGGCAGCAAGCTCCATGGGGCACAGACTTTTCAGAACTCTATCTAGTACCTTGAATAGCCTCCTATGTACTGTGGATGTCTCAGATATGTCTAGGAAATCAACAGGTGAATATTTAAATAAAGGTTTCCATCCCTATGTGGATAGCCTTTACAGGTGGATTTTACTGTGGAACGATTCTAGCTGGTAGCTAGTTTTCTAATACAGAGAGGCAGAGAACAGCAAAGAAAGACAGGTGTATAGCTTTGCTACAGGAGTAGCTGGAGGATAAGGTGAGATAGGTCTTGACTAGAGGATGGTCAAGGATGCTAAAAGCAAGCTCTGCACGTTATCGTTGCATTTCAGATTGGCAATCACCAGAAACAAGTCCCAGTGTGGAGACAATAAGTGTGAGGCACAGAGCTGTGACAGATTACCTACCACCAGCTGTAGAGAGGAGGTTCATCTTTAATGTCAGTAACAGGAAAATCAGTCACAATCCCCAGATCCACAGACCTTTGACCCAATAAGGACACTTATTGTCCAGACACTTGTGGGCAGTAATTCCATTCTGCCTTTTGGTGTTTTTGCTTTGTATTTTTATATTCTTAAGCAGCTTTAAAAAATAAAATTATTTTTCAGGTTTTCAAGATGCCTCCCTTTGTGGTATTTCTGATTCTTCAGTTTTCCTTTTCCTTTGGATTTATTTCTGGAGCTGCGGCTCCTTGGCAGGGAAAGCCACTTCACTCTTGCCTTTTGCCAGTCAAGTGTGTACTTCCTTTTAATGGCTTAGCTTCACCCTTTCTACATTAGCTGTTTTGGTTCTACTCCTAAATAACAGCAAAAAGAAAAAAAAAAAAAACCCTATTCTTTCTGGTATTCTTGTGTGCATGGCCCAATGGTCCCTCTCTCCTCAACGAGGGGCAAACACACCACAGCATGTCTTCATTTAACAAATATGTAAAAATGAAAAAAATACAACAAACTGCATTTGCCACTATTTTGAACCACAGTTCTCTAGTTCTACTTTAGTCAAGAAAATCAGGTAAGGCCCCTACTTCAAATGATCACTTCCTACTTATAAAAGGAAGTCATATCTAAAGACAACGCATTTAGTCCACTGTTAAATGCAGCATGCTGTGCCCACACCAAAGGAAGTCATGCCACAATGAAAAACATAAGCTTGCTTCACAATAAGCCAAATACAACTAACCTGGCACAAAACACTATATAGCTGACCTAAATTACTGTGTTGTTTTTCATTAAATGAATGTGGGATGGATGCAAAATAATAATAATAATAATAATAATAATAATAATAATAATGTCCTTTGTCCCGACTCTGGCCCATTCCCCAGAAGTTCCCCATCTACCTGCCACAGTCCACACACCAAAGAAAGGGAGCCACTTTATCAACATGCATATCTGCAACTTACCACCTACTCTTTTGCAAAGTGTTCAACTTACAAAATTAAATCACCTTTTAACCAGGGCCCATGTGTTCACTTCTGACATACTAAGGGGCTGACAGATGCCAGGCACACCTAAACACACCACCTGATGTGATCCACTACTGTGGCAACAAAGACTTGTCACACTATTTTGGATTCTCTGCATACTCTGGATGACTAAGCAAATACATCACTCGTTGTTCACTGCCACTTCAAGAGAGTGAATCTGTGGCTAGCTATGTCCCACCTACAGACTACATTTTTACGAGAACTGGATTTAGACCAAACTGATGAGAAGCAGTGAACAATTTGGCCTTCAAAAATATTAAGACAAAGTGTTTATTGGACTCTCAGCTGATGGACTCCCATTAAGCCTTTTTCTTTTGAGTAAATCATCAGAGAGTCTTTTAGTGAACTGTTAAATTAAAATACATCCTTGGAGCTAGAGAGATGACTCAGTGGTTAAGAGCATTGGCTGCTCTTGCAGAGGACCCAGGTTCGAATCCCAGCACCCACAGGGCAGTTAACAACCATCCATGATTCCAGTTCCATGGGACCCGAAGCCCTCTTTTGACCTTACACACAGGCAGGCAATATACTCAAACACATAAAATAAAAATAATAAAATACATTCTTAAGGGCTGGAGGTGCAGCTCAGCAGTTCAGTGTTTGACTTCATGTGCAAGGCCCTGGTTTCCATCCCTAGCTCTGAGAAAACAAAATATATCCATGATTACCTCTTTGTAGAATTACCGCTAAATTATAATCAAGCCTCTTTGATAGGGAACTTTTTGTGATTCTTACCAATATTTACATTTTTTAAAACTTGTATCTGGCAGCCAGACTAAGCCAACTTCAACGCCATTCTGCATTAAATGAAGCCAAAAGCTGACCACACAGCACTCAACTGATCAGAAAAAACATACCATATTTAATAAAATTCCAGATTCTTGTGGTTGATGTCCATAAATATGCTTTGCAGTATTGGATATATGGTTTGCAAAGGCAAGCAGGTCCTCCACAGTCCCATATCTGACAGACGAGAGCCATGGCACCTCCTGGCCACTCCGATGTAGCGACTCTGATCGCTCCTTGTTTTGAATGCTGTCCGGACACATGGTCATCAGACTGGGCTTGTACACTGCTGGCTCTTCACTTGCATAAAAGTTTTCCATTATGTCTATGACATCTGACATGTTTAAATGCTTAATTAATAAATCAATATCTTCTTTCTCATCACTTCCGGTGCTCATGTACTCCATCACTGTGGTCCCTGCTGGAGTCTACAAAAGAGAACACAAACTTCATCTGCTATCATGTATTTGCATTGGAGACCAATCTCCAATCCAAGGTCCTGCTTCTTTGCACCTCTGTTTATAAGGGTTCTCCAGCCACAGTGTGTGTGAATTTAAGTGGACAGTGCCAAATTCTAAGGGACCTTGGATAATCTTTAGCCCAACTCACTTTGCAGGAGGAAACTTGAGATGTAGAGAGCTTAGGAGTTACTCACTGTGGCATCAGCTTTAGCTACTCAAAACAAACTTTCACTAACCAGAAACCAAGGAAAGAGTAGCTCACGAAGCTCTAGAGGCTCCTGCTCTTTACAGCTTCCAGTCTTGCACAACTTCGGTGTTCCCCAAAGGAGTATGCCCCTGCAAGATAGCTCAGTGTGCCTTTTAGGCCTCTTGGTGACTTGAGGGAAAAAAAAAGAACTACTTGACTAAAATTCAGGAACTAACTTGGCAAATAAAATGCAGGCCCCAAGAGAGCACAAAGCACATAGAACGGGCTTTAAGAGAAGCAAATGGGATAGTGAGAGGTTAAGTTTCTGGAAAAATTCCGATGTGAATAAATCAAAGAGCTCTTTGGAAGGGGGCAGGAGCCTGGGATCCTAGATGTGTCAATGATAAATAAGGATGAGAGAGGTGATTCACTGACCTGTGAGTCACCAGTCCCCTCCTGAGACCTGAATTCTTTGATAGTACAAAGCACACATCTCCAGGGAACACCTCGATCAACCAACCTGTAGAAGTTATGATAGCAGAAATAGGCCAGGAAAGCCAAGTCTATTATAAGCAAGCCACAGGTTAAGACCAACTAACTACACTAGCCCAAGTTCTACTTCAGGTCCTCCACACAATCAGATGCCACATTTAGGGAACTGTAGATGACAAAAAGAGGGTAACACAAGGATAAAAAGTGACATAGTTCCTCTGGGTCTTAACACAACTCAGCCCATTACAAAGGAGAAAAAGATAAGAACATCTAAGAGATCTCAAAGCATCAAAGCATCTAAGAGAACTTCAAAGCCTGTCTAACTTAAACCAGCCTGCTCTAGAAAGCACAGCCGATCTGAATGATACTTCAGGTTCTTAAAGGCATAGGCGCTGTGGCACATATGTGTAACTACAGAGCAGGGGATGTAAAGATAGGTCCCTGGAGCTCATTGTTCAGCCAGTATAGCCAAATCCATGAGCTCCAGGTTCAGTAAAAGAACCTTTCTCAAAAAAAAATAAGGTAAGAAGGTAGATACTCAATGTCAGCCTCTGGCCTCCACACTCACAGACACATACATGCACTGTGCACATGTACCTGCATGACATGTATACACACAGGAACATGCACATACACATATACTACACACACACACAAACACACACACCTACACACACACACACACAAACACACACACACACACACAGAGTAACAAAATAACACTGCCATGCACCTGGGTCAACATGGAGCTTCAAGGTTCCAGGAAGCACTCCACCATAGGACCACCTGCATACATGACCCAGTCATCTGCTTCTGAGTGCAATTCAGTTGACAAAACTCCCACATCACCCGGTGTCCTTGTTAACTTACTTGAGGGACACTTTCTGATGACAAAGTGTGTGTGAGGAAAGCAGTATAGCATTCATCCTGCATTCAAATATTTTTCTGATTAAAGCCTAATCTCATTACCTCCTTTCTGCCTATGTGATATTGAGCAAGTACCTTAAGCTCTTGTGCCTCAACTTCCCCTAGCTGCAAGGTAGAAGCATTAAAACCAGCACCTACCTTCCAAAGGGATTAGAAGGATTAAAGAAATTCATGTGTACAAGGTGCCTTGTTAGTTTCTGGTGCATAGTAAGTAAGCCATCCCAAGCACTAAGTTGTGGACCTGGCTTGGCAGATATTTTATCAGACTCCTTTCTCTTTTGCAAGGAGAGATTTGTCTTAGCTACAATCAGGCAGGATGTCTACCTATTCCCCAGACTTCTCAAAAAGCTTTCAAAGACTGTGTCTAAATACACACACACACACACACACACCATAAAGTACGTTGATGTTTGTCACCACACCTAAATCTAGACAAAGAGCTAGACATGCTTCTTCAGACATCTGGTACCTCTTTGAGGAAGACTGTGATTCAAGTTCCCACCAGTAGGGAGCTTCTTAAGCAGATAGAGAACCTCAGTTTCACAAAGCCATTTAGTTGTAGTTTCTGCAACTGTAGAATTTACTAGGAAAACAGAAGTTAAAAACAGTCAACTTCAGGGTAACTACTGGCTAAAGAGACCCAAGGCTCCCAAATTGACTTATCAAATAGATGACTTGACAGAAAATAAAGTTCATGACTCAAGAAAGAGGAAAAAGTCAAAACTGTTCAAATTCACTGTACTGGTGGTCTAAGAGAAAAGAGACCAGTTTGAGTTTTTAATCCTGCAGAAAGTCTACAGCAAAATATCTAAATTTTTTATAGGCATTAATTAAAGTCTGAGAAATACACACACACACACACACACACACACACACACACACACACTCCTCCTTGGCTATGGCTATTTGCAGACTAGGGGGAGCGGGAAAGATGGAGGAACAGGAACAAGCTGGAACAGGGAGGTGAAGTGTGTGACACACTGATGCTCTGCAGAACTTGCTCCATTCCTAAGCTACACAGGCTCCCGGCACACAAATCTGCTACCTAGCACCCAGCTGTCCAACAGCCTCCTAGACAGTCCTGTGTAAAGGCTCAGCCCCTCCCTGCCTCAACTAAACAATTAAACTTCAAAATTAGCTTTGAATTATTTCGGAGAGCATTCATAAAGTCAAGAGGAAACAAATTCCTAAATATGAACGTAAGTAACACTCTTGACTACTGCCATCAACATAAACAAACCTTGAGAAATTCCCAGCTTTCCAGCAAGTGTGAATGAAAATCCGCTTAGACTTAGACAAGATGTTCTCCCGGCAAAGGAGGGATAGTACCGGTGTGCTACTTTTCATTTAAGAGACGATCCGCCCCCCAACAGCCCATTGTCCCGGAAAGATCCAGAAAAGATGCATTCCAACCGAGTAGACTCAAAGGCACTCAACTATCTCATCTTCCTATTATCCTATAGTATAAAGTCTTTAAGGACCAAGATTTACCCCACACAAACCTCAACCCATCAGGACAATTGGAGATCTCAGCTCGAAAGATGACACTTGTAAGACTCAGTGTGCTAAACAACTGCATTATCTTTTCTCTTCCCATTTTTTTATCAAAAACAAAGGTTTTTATTCTTTTGGACGAAAGCATGTTTTTCCACCCTCCCTTTCCATCCACCTGGTCTCTAGTCCACCTAACCCTAAAGACAGCCGAACCTCAAGGAGCTTGCTATTGTAAAACTACCCCTCCTCAGAGCAGTCCTCCTGCCTCCAAGTTGCACTCACCCGGACTCAGCAACCGGAGTGCAGCTGTCGGGGTAGCGTCCCCCGCAGGAGGCGCGGTGACAGCGGGTCTCCGCTTCTCCTGCCACAGCCCAGGCGAGCACTGTCCGGTCGCCGGGGATCCGGGAAGAAGGAGGAAGGGGGAGGAGCCGCGAGTCCACACCTCCCGAGGCCTTGCGCAAGGTGCTTTCCAGGGCCTGCTGGAAGCCGGCCGCTCGCGTCTTCCCTAAGGGGAGGCACGCTCGGTTTTGGAGTGGGAAACCCCGGGCACCTACGAGAGGTGCCACCGGAGACACTCTCAGGACCCCCTAAACCCTGATTACCTGAACGCTCCGCGCGTCCCCGGTGCGTAGCGCGTGGCCCGCCTGCGGGAGCCAGGCACGCCGGGGCCCCGGGCGCCGACCGCAGGTGCAGGACCCCGGATCCGGCACCGGGAGGAGGGATACGCGGCGTGCCCGGGACTCCGCGCGTCTGAACCGACCCCGGGCTGTGCAGCCGACGCCAACTGCCTCCCCGCCTTTTCCATTTCCCCTTTCTCTCCGTAAACAGAAAGGGCCCGCCGGGTGGCCGGGGACGCCGCAGCCCCCGCGCAGGGAAATTCCGTCCTCCCACCCTCCCGGCCCCAGGGCGCAGGGCGGAGATGGAGGCGGGATGGGGCGGAGCGCAGGGTGCTTCCCCCTCTGACCTGCGGCCGGGGGCGTGCTCCAGGCGGGTCCCTGGCGATCCGGAACCGCGTCTCCCGGCCCGGCCTCGGACACGGAGGACACCCTCTCCCAAATCGCTGCGGGACGCCTGTGGGCCTCTGAACTTCTTGAACCACGTCGGTCTGATACCCGGGTTCAGAGTCGCAGAGTGAGGGCGGTGACCCCAGGTCCGCAAACCCGGAGTACGGACTCCGCTGTAAAGTTTCGGTGGGGATCGCCCGGGGTGCTCGGCCCGCGGAAACAGTTTCGTTCTTCCCACAGTTGGAACTGGTCGTTTTGTGACACTGTTCCACTACTTCGTGGCGGTGCTAGGCTCTCCCTCCGATCCTTGGCCCGGGAAATAAGCCAGGGTTTTACTCTTTTGTTGGTAAGCGTTTGTTGAAGGTGAAGGTCAGAGACAGTTCTAGAGGAAAAGCATCTCCGCGAAATCCACTCTCCCGCGGAGCGTCACAACCGTCCTCTCTCCAAATGCCCCAAGTATCCACAACCTACTACCAGGAGCCGGGTATTTTGCAAGACCCCGGAGAACAAGAGTCAGTCACATAGACATACTCTCCATCACACCTGTGGGACGTGGCAGAGCTCCGAAGCCAGTGCTTCCGCTCTTTGCAGTTCCCATGCTCATTCATCCTCTATACAAGTTCAAAACTACATCGAGTTCTCCACGATTCTTCTGTGGAAAGTGAATGCAGGTAAGAAGGCTGCGGGCAGACCTGTACAGCTAACGGGTGAGACGCAGTGCCCTTGCTGTGGAACCTCATGTGCATACAAGCCGGGCTAGCTTTTTAAGGCGGAGAGGGCCAGTGGACCCCAACTGTGAGCGGTAAAAGAGTGTTGTGACCAGAGTGAAGCGAGGACATCACAGTCCCTTCGAAACCCCCCAATGGTTGCATGAACCTCCAGAATGCCCCCTCTGGAGGACTTGGCCCTCCAGGTCTCACAGCTTCCCCCAGCCCTGCAGCCCTGAGCTGGGAAAGCAGCCTGTACAAGGCTGTCCTTGGGCCCAAGGCTGTGGAATCTAGCACTAGCCGAGAGTTGACTGAATGGGTGTCCGTTGAAACAGAAATTATCAGTACCCTTTAGCTTTTTCTCTGGAAACCCGATTAGTACGGTGGTTGCCTCTAACAACGAGAAATTCCTTTTTCATCTCCCTATCTTGACAAAGGATGAGCTTATAAACACTTTAAAAATAGAACCATGGAGCCACGCCCCTCCCCGCCCCCTTGAATGAGCTCATTACACCACCACGCCTAATCTGGGAAATAGGCCTGAGACTTCCCTACAGAAGTCTCCCAAATGCTGCTGCGTTTTAAAGAGCTGACACAGCTGGTTCTTGGTGGCTGCTCTTGGCTTAAGCTGTAGCAGATTCCGTGTTGTGGGTGGGGTGGGAAGTTTACTTTCAAAAATTTAATGAAGAATTGAATCTGGCCACCCCCAAAAGACTGAAGGGAGAAAGCAACTGCAAAGAAATAGTTTTATTCATTTTTTACTTTTATCGTGACCCGGTTGTTTAAATACAAATATAAGCAAGCAATCCTCTTCTTTCAGGAACATGCTAACAAAAGTGAGGGGGACGCAAGAGAGAGGGCATAGCTGGGCCTACAGGTAGCTGGAACTATAGGCCTGCACCACTATGAAGGACGAAATGACTTTTAAACCTGCCAGTGAGAAACCACCTGTCCCAGACTATTGAGAACCATAGGCTGGGTCTTGAAGAAATTTACTTTTTGTATGTACCTATGCATGTGTGTATTGTGACAGGGTCTCACTCTGTAGCCCAGGCTGGCTGGTAATTCACTATACAGCTTACTGGGGCTGGCCTCCTGCCTCCATCTCCCTGTATGCTGGGATTACAGCTCTTGTGACCCTTTCTATGGTGAACAAAATGCACTTACAAATCAGGTTACAACCAGTTGCCGTTCACTCCGAGGATCTTCCTTTACTCAAGTTGAGACAATGAGTTTAGAATCTGAAGTTAGAAAATCTGAATTCGTTTATTTGCATATTCAGAAAAATTATAAATATGTAGCCTGACAATTCCATTTGTGTATGTAACCACAAATATGTCTGTTTTAAAATATATTTGATATAGGGCAGTTTCCAATCTTTTTCATGTTTATAAAATATAGCTAGACATAGCAAGGTGGCACACATCTGTAATCCTCGCACTGGGGAGGTTGAGACAGGAGAATCAAAAGTTCAATGCTAGCCTGGGCTACACAGCACGACCTTGTCTCAAAAAAATAAAAAAATAAAATATGGAATTTTATGAACAAAATAAACTAGAATATATTGAACATATTAGAATTAGAATAGATTATATGTGTTTCGGTAAAAATAGTGATTCAGTTTTCTCTTTAAGACTATAACAATAAAGCATTGAAGAAAGATAAGTGCTGAGTTTGAAGAAAGCTTTAAATAAAATATGTTTTAAATTAAGAGGAAACTGATCCTAATTTACAAGCATAACTTTTCCTTTTTTATTTTGAAGTAGTTGCATTTATTACTAAGATGTCCAAATAATGGTCTCTTAACACTTCTGATGATAGCCATCAGTGAGAAACTATAAATACTTGTAGGTAATAAACATAAAACTGTTATCATGTTAAAATTGTTTAAGAAGTCAAAACTGGATTTTAAAAATCCAGTAGCCTTTTATTTTCTTTCATTTACATATGCAAATTTCTTGTGATCATGTGTGGATTTAAAATATGATTGAATTTTTCAATATTTAGTGTTTCAACATGACAAAGTTCTAACATGTAGAACAGGTATGCTTTGTCAAAGAAGTTAGCTGGGATACCCCTAAAAGGTGCATCGACCCAAGGATGGACTATTCTCAGGTACCAGCTGAGAACCAAGGCTCTCTACTGTGTGCTCCACCCCTGCCCCTGACTGCTCCTTGGGCTTTGGCCACACTCCTCTGGTACCCCAAATATGACTCCTTCCTCTCGCACACATTGTCCCCTGTTCGTCACTAGCAGTAGTGTGCCCTGGAGCTGCAGGTTGATGGGTACCTGTTGAGCCTTCTTTTGCATCTTAGGGTCAAGGATATCCATCCGACTCATGGGAACCACAGGGTGCATCATTTGATTTTGCTCTGTCTCTGCAGCCCCGTACGACATGTCAGATGCCACTGGAAAGGCAACAGACCCAAGAACTTCAGATCTCACCTGCCTACCTTTGGGAATGAAGGGATCAATCAATATACAGGGAATAGTCCTAGCTCATCCATGTATGAGGCTTTGTGCTTAGCTCCCATAACACTTTTGCAGATCTGCCCTGGAACGGACTATAACAGAGAAAAGCAGTCTAGGGTGAGGGGACAGTCTCCCCTGCTCCTGAATACATTCAGCTGTGGCTGTTGTCTGGCTTGAAGGCTGTGTCTGCATGGAAGTGAAGACCACCTGTGAGGGGCAGAAAACTAAAACTCAGGCCTCAGAGTGCCTAAATTGCAATGTTCTGTATATATTTGTGTGTGTGTGTGTGTGTGTGTGTGTGTGTGTGTGTGTGTTTAATTTTGCTTGTTTACTGTGAAACTGCCCCAAATTTGAGCTCTTCCAGCCACATTTTGAAAACAGAAATTCTCCCTCTGGGCTTCTTAGTTCCACCTCCCAAATGGAAACCCCTTGTACAGTATTTCTTAATTATGGCCTTCCAAAATGACCACACAACACAGGCTGCTCCCTAGGTCTGGGGAGGCTCTGTCTTCAGACTCTGCAATAACTTCTATCAGTCACACTTCAGAGGATGGAAGCCTCAAGAGTGATCCTCCCCTAGCCTCTTTCCCCCCCACACTGCCTAGGGCTCCCTAGGTCTGGGGAGGCTCTGTCTTCAGACTCTGCAATAACTTCCATCAGTCACACTTCAGAGGATGGAAGCCTCAAGAGTGATCCTCCCCTAGCCTCTTTTCCCCCCACACTGCCTAGGGCTGGATGTTATAAAGTAGCCTCATTTAGACTGGTGGAGAGTCCCCATTTCCAGTTATATCTGCCTCCTGCCACTCTTTTCCCTACTAACCCCACAGGCTTCTCTGCCCCAAGTGTACACAGCACCTGTAACTGCTGCCCAGAGAGAGCTCTGCCTGCCATGATGTGCTGAGAGCTACTAACAGTTGTTGGCTTCTGGGGGCAGGAGAGTCAATTTTGATAAGGGTGTATGTAGGTCCTGGTAGGCCCACCGTGCTCCAGTGTCTGGGCCCACACACAGGAGTATATAGACAGCACAAAGTGGAGTCCTTGGGCTATTAAATTTTCTAAAGTATTTTATTTATTATTTTTATTTTATGTATATGCATGTACTGCCTGCATGTAGGTAAGTGCACCCGTGTTGTGCAATGCCCGTGGAGGACAGAAGAGGCTATGGGATCCCCTGGAACTGGAGTTACAGACAGTTGTTAGTTGCCACGTGGGTGCTGGGATTCTAACCCAGGTCTTCTGCAGGAACAGTCAGTGTTCTTAACTGCTGAGCCATCTCTCCAGCCCACTATTAAATTTTTTCAAAAGAAGACACAGCAGTGTGTGACGACATACTTCTTTAATCCAAGCACTCGGTAGGCAGACCTATCTCTATGACTTCAAGGCCCAGCCTCATGTACAGAGTGAGTGCCAGCTGGGGCTACAGGGAGACCCTGTCTCAAAAAGACAAGAAAAGAAGAAAGAGGAAGGAAGGAAGGAAGGAAGGAAGGAAGGAAGGAAGGA